TCTCCAATGCAAAAACAATGTAAGTGGAATATTAACGCGAATAATAAGATATTACATTATAAACTTTTTGCATATTTGTGTGTCTTTTTATTAACAAAAAAATATTATTACTAAAAAGTACAAATTCTTACATACAATTTCAATCATGCAACATTTTTTATATAACAATTCTTCTAACTAAGAAAGCTTAGGGTTGTAACTGCACTCATATAAGAAGAACAATGATTTGTTCTCCAAACCCCCCAGCCACGAGCATTCTGTAACTATATATGAAATTAATGCAGTCGAAACTCAAATGCTCATATAATCTTTAAAAAAATACATGTTATTATTTTAAGAATTATATTCCAATCTCGTTCTCTAAAATTAAAAGAAAGTTTACGAACAAAATTAATCAAAAAAAAGTAGTAACGGGGTTTGCTCTTTTCCCGGCCTTTTAGCCATGGTTACTGCTATACAAAAGATATTATATGTGTTTAATTTGTTTAATTTTAATAGTATATAATTATTTAAAATGTTTAAAAATATCAAATGGAGCTTTTATGGTACAGCATAAGAGTATTAAAAAATGTAAAAGGTGATATTGATTTTAATGTAAGATGAATTTAATTAAACAATTAATAAATTAAAGTTTTATTTTTATTTTTTTAATATACATTTATAATAAAAAAGAGTAAAAAAAATAATTAATATAATCTTAAGGTACAAGTTAGATAAATCCATGATTAAATATTAGATATTAGTATAGTTATAACTATCAATTATTTTTAAAAATCAAATTAAATATTACTCTCTTCAATTTTAATAGTTCTAATTTGATTTTTAATATTTCAAATATGAATTTCAAAAAAAAAAAAATTAATAACTTATATAAATAATAATTAAAATTTTTTTATATACAGTTGTTATTAAATATTTTTATTTAATAAAAATTCTAATTATTATTTATATAATACATTAAATTTTTATTTAAAATTTATATTTAAAAAATTAAAAAATTAAATTATGACTACCAAAGGGTAGAATGAAGTTAGTAGTTGTGACTTGTGAGGCCATAACCAAGGCCCTGACTCATCCCGTCCGCAGTGCAGCGCAAAAGCCAACCAGAACCATTAACAATCCTTCCTCCAACTCTTTACTCTGCCGTTACTCTATCTTCTCTCCAAACGGTTATCCCTGTAGCTCTACCCTTAAACGCGCCAGTCAAAAACTGCAATAAAAATATAACCAAAGATGCTCACGCTCTCCCCATTCTCCAATGCAACTTCCCCCAATCTCCTCTCCCCTCATCCTCTCTCCTTTCCTTCTCTTCAATTTACACAGCTCGCTGGTTCTCATCGGAGAGATTTCAGAGCTCGAATGTCGTCGGAATCGCTTCCTCCTCTGCCGGAAGACCGCATCGTGGTCCGCCGTCTTCTCTCTCATTCTTTTACTTTTTATACAAATGTTGAACTGGATTTGCTTGTGTTGATCGGTTTTCTCATGCGTATTTTTTCTGTTACAGCTCGGCTGTGGAGCGGTGTCGGTCGATTTCTTGGCTGCCGTGGCTTCCTATCCCAAGCCTGACGATAAAATTCGAAGCACCAGCTCCAAGGTCTACATTTTCAATTTGAGTTCTCTGCTCTTTGTATTCCTTCTTGAACTTTTGTTAAGGACACTGTGCTGAGTAGCTGAGGCGGTCTTTTGACTCCTTTTATCAACTGTTATGTCATTTTTGCTGGATTGCATTGGTTCTTAGGTTCAAGGGGGAGGTAATGCTGGCAATTCATCGACTTGTGCTGCTCGTTTGGGCTTAAATCCACGGCTGATTTCTAAGGTATCATACTTAATCTGTACTACAATACACAAAATTGCGAACCTGTGTAGTCTGTGTTTGATAGCTCTATTGCATTGTAAAATCATCAGGTTGCAAGTGATGGGCAAGGAAAGAGTATACTGAACGAACTTGAATCTGATGGAGTGGATTCTTCTTTCTTTATTGTGAGCTTCATGTGGTTCTCCATTCATAGTGTTCCTCTTTTTTTTTTTCTTTTTTTCTTTTTTTTTTTTTTTCATTTATCATTATATGAAGAGCAAAAGCATAGAAATTAACCAGCAATTGGTGTTACATTATGAATCTTTTGACCTGAATCTCTCACGTTATCTTGTTGATTCAATTATGTTGCTTCCAGGTTTCCGAGAAGGGTAATTCACCGTTTACTTATGTAATTGTTGACAGCCAAACGTGAGTACCAATGTTGTGATGCTCTCTCCCTCTCTCCCAACGTCTTTCTTGCATGCCCACACACACATAAATGCAGATTTCAGTTGTAGTAACTTTTGACTCAATGCAGATTATTTAAGTATTTTCTGTACTGTTTTGCAAATTTTGCTGGCTTCTCTTTGCCCTCTATTCTGTGCACATTTTAATCTGACATTTTACTGGGCCAAGTCCTTTCTTAAAATGTTCTCTCTTCCTTGTGGCCTATGTATATGGAAACTAAATTAAGGCGATCATCTAAGCATACAACATGCTTATTTTGGAAGTCAACCTTCTGTTTGATTAATCATAAGAAATATTTCAGGAAAACTCGTACTTGTATTCACTCCCCTGGGCATCCACCGATGACACCAAATGAGCTTTCCCAGTCAAGTTTAGCACGTGCTTTGGATGGAGCAAGGATTGTCTATTTTGATGGAAGGCTGCATGACACTGCCTTAGTTATTGCAGAAGAGGTAACTGTTATATACCTTTGTTTAAATTCCCTTTGCCCTAAACTTGTAGCAATCAACAATTATGGTACAGGTTCTGCCTTCAAATTAGATGAAACTAAAAATTCCTAATTTCGTTGGAAGTTATGAAATGAAGCTACCATGCAGTATTCATATCTTTATTTTTCTTTATCTGATACTATGGCAGTTGCCAGTTGTGAACAAGAGGCTACTTAGTTCCCCTTCATGGAGACTCTATAGAAACTAGAACTTAGGTTTTTTTTGGCGCCCACTAACTTTAAAAATTAAAAGATTAGGTGTTCAAGCCATTGTGAAAGCTGAGAACATTAAATTTCTTCATGCACCAATATATGTAAAAAATTGTCTTTTTTCCTTAACAATTAGTTGCTAACTTGGCATGTGACCACTAGGGTCTTTCTCATTGATAACTAAGTATAATCCTTTGTGTTGAGGTTTTGACTATTGATGAGTTTTGCATGGCCCTTCAATCAACTTCTGGTATTTGATGTTGGCAGTTTGTAACTATAGTGTCACAAATTCTATTTCTTCAAGTGTCCCTTCACAAGAATCACATCAAGTTCATCCCTTCTGTTCTTAAAAATTATCAGCAACTGCTACCAATAAGTTAATGGTTCCTTTCTGGATTCTTTTGGTACAGGCAACTCGCAAGAAGATACCTATTTTAGTTGAAGCAGAAAGGATAAGGGAAGGATTAGATGACCTTCTAAAATTAGCTACTTATGCCATATGCTCGGCAAAATTTCCAAAGGCAAGTTGATTCTTCTTCAATGGATCAATATGAGTGTACACTCTGTTTCTGATTTTTGTTATTTAAAACTTCTGTCCTTTTCCCATCTTCCATTTTGCCTTTTTGTTTAATCAACATACTTTTATGTAGGAAATCATGACAAATCCTGACTTTTCCCTCAAAACTGTTCTTTCAAAAATAGGAAACTTTTATTGATAGTAATTTCTTTTATTTACTGACCCTAATTTCTGTTTACTTAATGTCTTCTTCCATGGCAATATTATTAGCAAGTTTTGTTGCAAAGCTACTTTTTTAGAATTTTATTGAAATATACACTTTATGCATCCCCCAGAAACTCTGACATCTGTCATTAACATATTTATCTTGTTTAACATCTTGCACCAAGCAGTTTATTGCTTTTATTAATACCCCTTCATAATCTTACTTAATTGATCTTTTTTATCTTTGTGATTGAACTTGTTCTTTAATGCTTAGTTACAAATGTGATATAACAACAGAATTTCCATGAGACAGGCATGGACGGAGGCACCATCTATTCCAAGTGCACTTGTATCCATGCTTCTGAGATTACCAAATTTAAAATTTGTAATTGCAACATTGGGTGAAGATGGATGTATAATGCTTGAGAGAAACGTAAATGGTGAGTATGTGAGTGAGTATTTAGGACAATGGGATAGATCTTATGCACATAGGATGAAAAATTGTAGTTCTAACTTCCAAAATTTAGTTCACTTATTTTCTTGGGTTACATATCTCACAAGATTCACTGATGTTCTATTTGCAGGGAGTCCTGATTCTGAAGAGATGGATGTAGAAGTCTTATTGGAATTGCTGAAGCAGAGGAAGGATGACAGTGCTGTCCTCCCAACCTGCATTTCATCGGTAGTCTGCATACCTTGGGATTTCAAGATTTATAAATATTAACATTGGAATGTTCAATCTGCAGTCTGTATATTGTTCACTAATCACTAGAGTCTACTGTAAGTGGGAGCTAAAGTTGTCAATGAGCTTGGATTTAGTGTCTAAAATCTATAGTAGACACTTCAAGCTCTGGCTAAAATGGAGAAAAACCTATGCTTTGTGCATAAGTATCTTATACTTTTGAAGACAGCAAGCAGAGGTACATAATAAAAGGGAAAGTAAACAGAAACCATGCGGGACATGTAAATTATGAAATTGCTTGATGAATAAGAATTTATTCCTTTATTGTTGTTTTAGTGTTATGTGAAATTCCTGATGGTTAGATATCAATGAATGTGGTCTGCATTTGATTGGAAGTTGAAAACTTTATCTTTTTCCTTTCATCCTTCCCAGCCAGTGATCCAATTGACAGCAAAAGGGATAGGGGCAGTCAGTGGCAGGTTATTTGTGGGAACAGCTGAGAAGATTCCTCCATCAGAAATTGTTGACACAACTGGTGCTGGGGATGCATTTATTGGAGCATCTCTTTATGGTATGTTTAACCATTCAAGTTGATCTCCCCTGCACTCCTCATCCTTTTGTTCTTCTAAAGTTTTCTCAAACTGTTTAAATTGCAAAGTTATTACACCTTGAATCTTGATCTATTTGTGTTCATCTCTTGAAACCATGCTGCTTCATCTCAAAAGCATAGAAAAATGAGCCAGGTGTTTAGTAGAAAATTATCTTAATAATATTATCACCACAGCCTACTAGGTTGACATCATGGATCACACTTGAAGAATGTTAATTGACTCTAAGTTCTTGAACAAAGAGCCCTGCCTCACTAGCTTTACTTATTTAGCCAACTTTTAGGATTTCCTAGTGGCTACCTTCTTCCTTAAATGTCCAACACTCTGTTAAGTGGGAAAATCCAAAATCCATACTGTGGTCTTGTAAGTAACATGGGTCTCTCTACCCTTTGTTAATTTCTTTTAGGTTGGATGCCTTTTAACATTTCCTTCTACCTGAATGCAAACCCTTTTTTTTAAAAAAAAAAAAAATCAGCGCCTGAATGCCTTAAAAATGTACATTTGGTGTTTCAGAATTCATTTAATTTATTATTGTAGAATTTATTAACTTCCCAGATTCCATGCATCAATCATTCCATAGTTTCATTGCTGCTTGTGCTATGTGCCTTTGATGAGGTTGATGCTATTGTGTTTCTTTTTTACCAGCTATATGCGCTGACATGCCACCAGAGAAAATGATACCATTTGCCTCTCAAGTGGTAAGTAGAAGTTACTGGTATTAAATGGCTTACCTAGTGGTGCCTTAAGTGTTTCTGCCCTTTTGTAATGCTGTTTGCAGGCAGCTTTAGGCTGTAGAGCTTTGGGAGCCCGGACAGGTCTTCCACACCGGACAGATCCACGCCTGGCATCTTTTTTTTAAGACTCCAGCATACCATCCCCATCACAGTAAAAGCAAATTGGAAACTCTCACAAGCATAACACAGGTCCACGGAACCCTACACATTTCCATAATTATAAGTTTTTTCTGTGGGCTTCCCTTTTTTACCACAACTAAGGGTATGTTTGGCAAAACCTATAAGTTAGTTTGTTTATAAGCAATTTGCAAAATTTCTCTTTAATTGTTTGTTAAGTTTGAGGAAAGAGAAGAAATTTCTTTATTTGAATTATAAAAATCTGAGGGGACAAGAGGGGAGAGAAATGAAATGATACCTCTCACCCTCTCGCATTCTATTTCCTTCGTTTCTCTAAAGCCAAATAAGAGATAATAAATTTTTAAATTTGTAATTAAGCAAATTATTTATAAGCAAACTTGTTTATAATCTCTGCCAAACATGCACTAAATATCTCTTTCCTAATCAACCATGAAAGGCTTAACTTGGGACATCGAATAAATGGATATAAGTATAACCAACGTTTGGTGGGCATGGGGTATGGAATAATTTTTAGCTCATCTCCCGTCCCAACCCTTCATCATCCATTCGATGCGGTCATACATAGAATCAGGGTATTTGCAAAGGAGCTGCCCCAAGACAAGCACCACATTGAGGTAGGAGTGAAATTTTTAAGTCAACGAATAATATATTTTTAAAATCGTTGTTTAGGTCACAAAATACTATAATTTTCGATATATCTTATTTTATGAAATTTGTTTATAATAGAATCCACCGTGAATGTATATACAATTTTTCTTTCAATATAAACAATTACAATAAGTTTAGATTGAGAGATTTGAAGGAGGGAAAGAGAGTGAGGGGGCAAAAGTGTCCTTCCCCTAATTTAGATTGCTTTACTAACGGAGGAAAAGGGAAATGACAGGTGATGAAACCCCTGTACTCTATTTTCCATCTTCTCAATTGGACGCATTACAACATCTGATGTGGGTTAAATGTGCAAATTACCCTTTAAAATTATCATGTTAACGTAAATCACCATTAAAAAAAAATGTTGACGTAACTTATCATTTCAAATTTCTATTTTTAAGAAATTAATTCAAATTTAACAATTGTTAATAAATTTTGTTAAATTATAATCCTTGAACTCTAATAAAAAATTAACAGTAACTGTTAAATTTGAATTGATGTCTTAAAATAAAAATTTAGAATGACAAATTGCGTCAATAATATTTTTGAATGGTAATTTGCATCAACAAAAAAATTTTGGGGGTAGAATTTACACCTTTTGCCATTTGATGTGCCTATTCAATTTGTTTTTTAAATTTTTTTTAAAAAATGAATAAATATAAATATTTTATTTCAAGTATTTATATAATTAATAAAATTAAAATATTTTATTTTATTTTATTTTATTTTTCTTTAAATTATTTAATTAAATAAAATGTTATTCTTCTCTTTCCTCTATTTTTTTTTTTTATCCAAGTAAATTTAACATTACTCATTTCCTTTCACTTCCTTCTCCTCCCTTTTCTTTGCCTCCCTTCCCTTCCCTTTACTTCTTTTTATCCAAACATTCCCTCAAAGAGTTTAATTTGACACTCATTTGCATTGACTCTAAAACCTTGTTTTTAATAACATAAGGAGGTATGATTGAAAGTCGGATATTATAACTCAAATAATAAAATATTACATTATAAACTTTTTGTATATATGTAATTTTTTTATCAAAAAAATATTATTACTAGAAAATAAAAACTCTTACATCCAATTTCAATCATGCAACATCCTTGATATAACAATTCTTCTAACTAAGAAAACTTAGGGTCACAACTGCACCCATATAAAAAGACAATGAGTTGTTCTCCAAACCCCTCAGCCACGAGCATTTTGTAGCAATTTATAAGATTAATAGAGTAAACTCAAATACTCATATTATCTTTAGAAAAAATGCATGTTATTATTTTACTAGTTCGGTTCAAATCTCCTTCTCTAAAAAAGAAAGTTTGCGAACAAAATTAACAAAAAAGAGTAGTTAGGGGGTGTACTCTTTTCCAGGCCTTTTGGCCATGGTTATGGCCACATGGGATATTATATGTGTTTGATTTGCTTGATTTTATTAGTTTATAATTATCTAAGATGTTTAAAAACATTAACTTGTAGACTGATTTTAAACTATTAAATAATAGATATCAATATAGTTATAACTATCAATCATTCTAAAACAATCAAATTAAATACTACTCTCTCTATTTAATTTTAGTAGTTCTAGTTTGATTTTTGGCATTTCAAATATGAATTTTAAATTAAAATTTAACAATTTATATAAATAACAATTAAACTTTTTTTATATATGCAGTTATTGTTAAATATTTTTATTTAATAAAAAACTTTCAATTGTTATTTATATAATACATTAAATTTTTATTTAAAATTTATATTAAAAAATTAAAAAATTAAATTATAACTACTAGAGTATAGAATGAAGTCAGTAGTTGTGACTTATAAGTAAAGATGGTAAATGAGCAGGTTAAGTCAAGTTTGGGTTAGATTTACTTGAGTTACAAGTTTTATAGGTTGGGTCATACATGAGTTGCAAGTTAATAAGTGTTAACTCTAATTTGATCTTAAGAGGTCATGAAATATCCCGCAAGTTGAACCTCTTTTATTCTTTTGTATGATTAGTCATGTTTTTAATGCTAATTTATTAAAATTAAATTATAGTAACTCCAAACAAAAAATATATATATATATATAAGATGAGTATATTTTCAAATCTCAATTATCATACTTGTCTCTATTTTATTCAAAAAAATTATTATTATTTGAAGTACAATAACCCTTCAATATTTACACAATCTAATGTAAGTTATTTCTTAAATAAACAGAAGTAACTATAGGGAATTGAGAATTGGCATCAGTCACAAAAGGAAAATGATGCATTTTAAAGCCTATCTTTTAACCAAACAAAAAACCTTACTTGAATCATCTTGAATATTTTATTCTCATCTCACCGATAATTTTTAAAAATATCTCCATTTTTATTCACCCAAATTATTCCAACCACAATTAAAAAACTAAGAGCCTTAACTTTTCAAACTTGCTATCTAGATGAGTAAAAGCAAATATAAATTGTTTGCCAATAATTTGTATAAAGAATCCGATAGTGGAAGACAACATATTATTATTGTCTAATTATTTTGCTTCCCTTTATTTGATTAGTTTCAATAAAATAACTTATTTTTTTGTAAAATATTTTGAATAATTCATTTTTGGTTTGTTTACAAATAATTATATATGATATACAATATTTGATTTATAAATTTTAAATAAATATAATCAACATTTTTTAAAAGGTTTTATAAATTATGATTATCACTATCATATTAAATTTTTTAAAATTATATTTGTTAATTATTTGACTTTAAAAAAGTACCTTATAAAATATCTTTTAAAATTTTAAAAATAAACAAGTTAAATAAGATAATTCGTAAACTCACGAGAATACTTATATTTAACTTGTGACCCTTTTGGATTGATTCAAATGAGTTACGATTGCAATCCTACCTGATTTTAACCCTTTTTTACTGGTAAAAATTTATTTTTAACTTTTTATTTTAATAAATTTATAAGTTTTAGTCTCTCGTCTTATATTATGACATTTTTAATTTTTCATTTATACAAATTGAAAAAAATAATCTTTATTTAATGTCAGATTATAGCGTTTTATTAGTTCTGTTAATTGATTGTTAGTTTTATTAATTGACTTTTAATTCTGTTAACTGACTACTAATTCTATTAACTAGCTGTTAGTTAGCTGTTAGTATTCCATTAATAGAATTAACAAATAAAATTAAATTTAAATTTCATGTTTTCTTTAATATAATGTTAATAGTCAGTTAATAGAGTTAATAATCAGTTAATAAAATTAACAGTTAACTAATAAAATATTAAATAATTATTATTTTTTTTAATTTATATACGTGATAGGTTAAAAATATTATAATATAAAGTGAAAAATTAAAATTTATAAATTTATTAAGGTAAAAACATAAAAGTCCTTGTTACCGTGTAGATTACGTTAGATTACCAGGCGTCGAGCGGTGTGTGATTTTTGTCACCTCCACTTGTGAGGCCATAAAGCATGGCCCTGAGTGACTCATTCCATTAATAAATAAAATTAGATTTAAATTTTATGTTATTTTTAATGTAATATTAATAATTAATTAATAAAATTAATAATTAATTAATAGAATTAATAAGTAATTAATAAGATATTAAATAATAATTATTTTTTTAATTCAAATAAGTAATAGATTAAAAATATTTATAAAATAAAAGGTTAAAATTTATAAATTTATTAAAGAAAAAATTTAAAAAGTAAATATTTACCCTTGTTACGATGTAGATTACGTTAGATTAACAGACGCCAGGCGGTGTGTGATTTTTGTCACCTCCACTTGTGAGGCCATAAAGCATGGCCCTGACTCGTCCCATCCACGGTGCAGCGCAAAAGCCAACCAGAACCATTAACAATCCGTCCTCAACTCTTTACTCGCTACTACTCTATCCTCTCACTAAACGGTTAGTCCTGTAGCTCTATCTTTAAACGCGCCAGCAAACTGCAATAAAAATAAAAGGATATATTTAAAGGTGTATATTAAGAATATTTTTTTATTATGAATATATATAATTGTAAAAATTGATATTAATTTTAATGTTAATATTAAATAAATAGATTTAATTAAATAGTTAATAAATTAAA